TCTGGCACTTAAGGGCAAGGTCATGGAATCTAAATGCCTTCGCAGTAGGAGCTCTTTTCCTAACCATCTCTAACAATATTGGCTCCTCAATGTTAGTTTTCAGTAAACATTTTAAGTAAATGAAGCATGCCTAACATCCAGGCTCTTAAACCAGAGGCCTGTCAATTGGGGCACGGCAGACACAGTCTTGGGTGAATGATGGAAATGGTACTTCTTAAGACAATAGTACAGTGGGATATGTCCTAATAAATACTTGATGCAATTGAATACACAACAGAACAAATTTTTAAAATTTTTATTCATGTATTCAGACCACCCTAATGCTGATGGGTGCCAGTGTCTTGCGTTTGTATGTAGCTCTTTTATATTTTCTCAGTAAATAGTGTATCTGCTATGTAGTTATCAGTGATGAAAATGAGAATTCTTAATTGATCGATTGTTTCCTTTTATGTCATATCTATAGTTGGTTATATAGTGCCCAGACAACTTTTTCAATTACTCCTTAGCTCTTACTAAAATATATCCATATATTAATTTATATGTATACCTATGTTTTAATTTGAAATGATTTTAAGAAAGAGCTGTACAGATACAGAGAGTTCCTGTCTAATGATGGTCTCAACCTGGGACAATTCTGTGTCTCCTCCTCATCCTAGGACATTTGGAAGTGTAAAAGGACACAGTTGGTTTTAAAACTGGAGTGGGAAAGGGGCTATGGAGAAAGAGAGATGGTATTGTAATGTAGTTGGTAGAGGCCAGGCATGATCAAGACTTCCTACAATGCCCAGGACAGCCCCAGCTCAAGGACTGGCCCCAAATGTCAGCGTGCTATGGCTGGGAAACCCTGCTCTAGACTCTTCACCCAGCTTCCCCGAATGTTATCATCTTACCTAACCAATGCGGTCATCAAAACTAAGAAATTAATGTTGGATCAATACTATTAACTCCAGACTTCACAATTTGATATTGTCTGATGGTTTCTCATGATTTACCAGAGCATAAGGATTTTTAGAGAAGAGAATCACAGAGGTAAAGTAGCTTTTTCCACATCTGGGGTGCACCACGTCCACATCACATCACTGGTGATGTTGAACTTCATGCTTTGGATCAGGTGGCATCTGCCAAGTTGCCCTTTTCAACCTGTATATACTAGAAGCAAGTCTCTAAGCCCACTGAGTTGTGTCCCAATGGAAACATTAAATACAATTAAAGAACTTGAATTCAGAGTAAGGGAGAGTGTAGTTCCATGGTGAGGGGGGACAGAGGGATGCATTTGTGGCCACTGTTGTGCCACATGCATGGAGTGCATGCATTTCTCTTCCTGTTTTATTTTTCTTTTTGGCACTTCTTCCCACCTGGCAGTGTGCACATTTATTTACTTGGTTATCATCTGTCTCCACCCATTTAGAAAACAAGCTCCAAGGAAGAAGGGACTTTTTTTCTGGGTTACAGCATGTTCTCTGACTCTAAAGAAAAATTACCACAAAATTTATGTTTGAGCAGTATTTAAAGAGCCTTTAGATGGAAAGAAAAACACAGGCAAGGGTTCAAATGACCTCCTGCCTGGATCGTGGCCTCCTCTCTTATGCCAGCAGTATTTCTTTGTATTTGTTTAATTTATATAAATGGCATGTGCTACACATAACATTACACCTCCCACCTTTTCCATTCAAGTCTATTTTTGAGATTTATCCTATTATAAAAATAAATGTAGGGCTCTAGTTCAATAGCTTCCCACTGGTGGGTGATTTTGTCCTTCAGGGGATATTTGTCAATGCCTGGAGACATTCTTGGTTGTCACTACTGGAGGTGGCCTAATGACAGCTACTTGATAGAGGCCAGGGTTGCTGCTAAACATCCTGCAATGCACAGCACAGCTGCCCAACACAGAATTATCTGGCTCAATAGCCCAGTAGTTGAGAATCCCTGGGCTCTTTTTTTCCTTGAATCTGTGGACTAGTGTTCGCTTGATAGCACATACCAGATTTGCTTAATCTATTTCCCTACTGGTGGCCATCGGAGTTGTTCCAATTCTCAGCTCTGACAGAGTTCAGCAAACATCTTCCCTGATATCTCTTTCTCC